AGCGAATGGGTGATGCAGGTGAATGACTTTTTTCTGGTAGTTGCAACGTGTGGCATTAGCTTGCGCAAGTTGATTGATTGTCAAGCAACTTGTTTATGAAAATCAAGCTGGTTTCGCCCTGGTTGATGGTATATCGATTAACTACTCGCGTTTCATAGGTTACGCTGGTCAGGACATGCATTTCGCATGCATACTTCACGGGCCTGTTTATGCCAAGCCGTGTCGAAGTGTATGCGACCGATGAGTGGACACTCTGTGACCTGGCAACGAAGTCTGAAGGCGATAACCAGTAAACTCATCGAGGGTGTCAACTTACGCCTCCATGAGTGGTGATTTTCGTACTGAGTTCCTCAGTGGATAATAAGACTGAAAAGCCCAACTCACGTACACACAGTAATGCTCTTGCATCCAGTTTATCTCCTTCAGTGCAGTTCCCGTTTCTTTAGGTTACTAGATTCCTTCAATACCAACTAACTGCTTATGCCGTCACCCCAGACTAAAGCTGTCACTGTCGTGGTGGTCGGGTTTCTGTGCTGCGATTATCTTATGGGTTATATTGGCCAAAACCGTTAATAAAGGTTGAACCATGCCAAGGTCAGTGAGAAGCAGTCCGACGAGATCAGCGCGTCACCGTACTTCGAGAGGTCGCATTACGGGGCGGTAATCCTCTGCGGTAGAAGTGTGAAAGCAGTAGATGTTTCATTTAGGTGTTCAACATGTCCATGTGGAAGCAATGGTGCTACTTTCTAACGAGGAAGGGTGGGTGAGAAAATCTCGGCCTCAATATCCACACCGATCGTCTAACGGTTGATCGTGACTGCCGATGCATTGCTGAACACGGTTAAACTACTTTTAGAATCAAACAGTTTGATGCCGTCCAGAAGGCACCGGCTGTGCGTAGCCGGATTAGAAGTCAGTCTGTTATGCCTAACTCCCCGTGTCCTTGGTCCAGGCCTTCCCCATTCAACCACTCAGGTCAGACGTTTGCATCATTGGCTCCGGGATTCTTTCTAGAAAACCTTAACAACCACTGCCACATGCATCAAACTTTTGAGTCGAAAGATCAAGATGGGGTACCTCAACCAAACTTCCTTCTTCGGTCTGGGAAACCGGGAAGTACCATTCACCCTTAAAGCTCTTCATTCACTGACTCCTATCCACACGTTCTTTGCCCAAGTCATTCCGATTCATTTAGCTGACAATCACCTAACTATCGCTACTTAGCCTTTTACCCAGTAAAATAAATCGAAATAAACCCTTATTAACTTGAAGGGATATGTTCCACATTGCTGCTCTCAAAAGTCGTACTATGTCCACCTGGGGAAATGGGTAACTTTTGCTCAGAACTTGTTCTGTCTTTCGATTTATATGTTTGTGTCCTCGAATTACGCATGCAAGGTCTCAGTTTGGTCATATATCTCAAGTTGCTTTTCACGAAATCAGATTCTTACACTTTACTCCTCGTGTGTCTGATGACCCTAATGCAGTGGCTCGTAGCACGTACGGTGTAGGATTTGTACTTGGCCCCAGAGCTGAATACGCCTTACTGGTCTGGATTCCAGTCGTCCTTGTTGTGTTAGGTTGGTTGGTTCAATCAACACTAATGCATCTTAACGTGGTAAACTTTGTTTGTTTGTTGCGTTGGCACACACCGACAGATGGCAATCCTCAGGCTAAGAAAGTCAGGTTCTATTGAAATTTGTCACGGTTGCTCCGATTAGCAGGAAGTACAACTACCGTTATTTTGGTAGGTGGTATGAATGCTAAGGTTGGCCAACTAGGTCCTGGGGATGCTCATTTCGGGGTTTACGCCCATCGCAAATATATAGAGGGGGGAGGGGAAAGACTTCTTCGATTATGTGCTGAAAGCAATTCTTTTCAGTACAGACCACCAGCCGAATCCAGTCGTGGACTCAGGTTGACCGCTTGGCAATCAAGATTATTCCTCTTTGTGGAGCACACCAATGGACTCTGATCATGGCATTGTGCGGGTATGGGCATTTACTCGCTTTTCCTCCGGAACACGTTGGCTGATGAAACGCCATTCAGTCCATGATCTTTGAAGTGTTTCTGTAGTTCTAAACTATGGAGTTGGATTGACCGATAAGCTCCCAGAACTCGACAAACCAAATGCTGATTAAGATGACGATTGGGGAAAAGTCAAAGAAACCATGATTACGGCTTTCAAAACTGTCTGCTTGAAGTCATTCTCACACTCCAGTGAACACTGGATCGCGTCACGAATAGCAGCTCGGATTTAAGGCAGAAGAAACAATACCAGCAAGAGACGGCTATGATAGCGCGCGCCGACCTCTCAAATGCCGAATAATGAACCTTAGAAGTAACAGAGCTCTCATGGGTCTCAAAAGCCCGAGAAATGGAGAGCGCTTTTACAATAAGGAACAATCGCACCCTGTTTCAATTGGTCCGAGAAAGGTGGATGTTAGTGAGGTAATCTCCGAAATAGATGGATTTAATCATTGGAACGTCGTCTTGAACAATAGACTGAACACTTCGCGGAACATTTTGGCTGGCCCTCATCAACTCATCATCTGTAAAGACCAAACGAACTCGAGTGGGACATGGATACCAGCCTGGTATCGTCGACGGAAATCCAGGATGCAGTTTTATTGCTCCAACGCAACAAAGCACCTGGTCCAGATGATTTGTATTGTGCATTTTTCAAAGAAGGCATTGAGTCCCTCAAGGCCATCATTATAACTTTACTTCAAAGTATATGGAGTGAGAAAGAATACCGACAGAATAGATTACATCGCTGGTGATCCCCATATTTAAAAAGGATTCAAGGATGTCTTGCTAAAGCCATCAGGACATCAGCCTAGTGACCAGCTCCTAAGATGCTCTCTGGTAGTATCGTACGAATGTTGATCCACCATCGAAAGTCATGTCCGCAGAAATCCAACCGGGTTTCTGTCTGGCCCGAATTTTAGCGATCGTATCTTCGCTATGTGAACTTCATGAAACTGCGCCACTCCTTCTGATGACCAGCAATGTTCGTCTTTCTCAACCTCAGATCTGTTTTTGACTCCGTCGATCGTCATACGCTGGTGTGTCTGGCGACAAAGGGTGTTCATTCTAAATTCTTGTCTATAATAAAGGCTCTATATGTCTCCTCCGGCAGACATAGATGTGTCTACGCAATTTTTTCCTCGAGTTCGCCCTATTTCATCAAATTCTTAATCACTGCTGTTGAGTCTTCCTTACCTCATTGAATTCAAGATGACTCAGTGGTTGAGGCGCTAACTTACTGACCGTAAGGTCCGTGGTTCTAACCCAATCTCTACATTTCGACTTCTCTCTAAGCTCGGCCAACTTGGCAGTATCTCCGCGGTATCTCCGTGCCCTTTACGAGTGGCAGTCCAATTCGACACCATCATCATCGACAGCATGACATCGGTGTTCGACACCGATGCTTCACTCCTACTTTATGGATCATAGACGTGGCCACTTCCTGTGGAAGCCCTTCGGATCTCCCTGTGTTTGACCATCGGTGCACTCTGTTCAACTGTGTTGAATGTAGACGACCGACGGACGGTCACTTTATGAACTGGCAATGAAGCGTGAAAGTCGTTACCGTTCAACTGGGCTACTTTGATAACTGCCATCTCCATGGATGGGGACCGCGTGACGAGATAAACGAATGGTTAGTGACCCTGAAGCGTTCAGCTGTAGCACCCTTCCGGTGCCTAGCTGCCATGCCACCTGAAGGAAGCACGAGGGCTGGGATACTGCCAGGTTGCCCAAGCCTAGACAGGGGAAGTCGAGTGGCGGGGGTCGGATTCGAACCACGAACCTTCCGGTCAGTAAATTCGCGCTCTAACCACTTGGGCCATCTCGACCCTGACAGATGGTCGTGTCATGCAGCCAATTGTGGTCTTGCTCTCTCCTTCACTAAGTAACTCTCTATGCCACACTGGATAAACGGAAGCATTCGATGTCAACGAACTAGTTGAACCATCACCTCCGACGAGTTTCGTTTCCTTATTATTGTTATCCTCGGTGAACTAAGTTGTAGCAAAGGAACCACTGCACCTTGGTGCGCGGTTTTTGATATTAAAAACTACATTCGATTGAGCAACCGTCATGCAGTAGATATCGCTTTTGGTTCGGATGGTGCCGATAGAGTGAAGATTGCCTTTTGGACAAGTGGAAGTGAGTTAATGAAGATTATATATAGTCCAGGTCTGTTGACTGATCCTTGCAATACTCCATCGGTGGTGTGGAACTGAGAGGAAATGGTCCCCGCAGAGGCCCAGCATAGGTGCATCGTTCGGCCGTAGCACCCTTTCGGTACCTAACTGCCATGACACCTGAAGGAAGCACGAGGGCTGGGATACTGCGAGGTTGCCCAAGCCTAGACGGGAAGTTGGGAGGCAGAGGTCGGGTTCGAAACACGGACCTTCCGGTCAGTAAATTCGCGCTCTAACCACTTGGTCCATCTCCCCCCCACTAACCCCAAATACTTATGGGAAAGTTATTCCTTCACCTGACTAAACTTAAATACGAACTACATAAGTATTTTATCAATGGGGGCAGCACGGACCGAGGTGTAATTGAGTTTTCCTAGCTAATTATTCCGCGTCGCCCTCCCAGAGCTAGGGGACTATCGTTCGAAGAAGCTCCCATATCAGTTGGACAACCAGGTGTGACATGTAGACTGTTCAGAAAGGGGTTTAACGGTGTCACCATGTTGGTGCACGACTCTGCAAGTCGGTCTTAATAAGTGTGCACCGGATCTGTCCTCACATGTTCATCATGTGTCATCGGAGTTCTAGGCAGATTAAGTGGCTACATTCATTCGGTCTAGTTCGTCTGCAGAATGTGTTTCTTGTTGCCGCTGTGGCACCGTGAAGCCGCCACAAACATGAAGTAACTATAAACGAGCTGCTCAATTATGACAAGCCAGTGGTTCCGCCTATCCAGGGACGCCTGTCGATCCCCTTACTTTCTAACCATTACTACCCTTTTCGCTTTTTCAGCCAATCGATTGAATCCGTCCGTCGTTTGTAAGATGACATCCAAACCACGCAGAGAAGCCACTGTTTTATATAGCATATTTTTTCTTGATTCCACGTTCGACGCAACTCGGAAGCATTGGAATTACTGCAAATTGTTGGCACCATGGATATTGGCCTATCCTTGGTATAATGAACGGTTCTGTTTGTCTCTCCAAAGCGGTACGTTTTTTCCGCTGCTGACCGTTCTGATGTTTTACTTCAGCGTCTTCCAACTGTTATATCTCGGGTTCCGTAAACTTTGGTGAAAGTGTGGAGGATGAATGGTTTGTCGTTTGGTTGCTCTACCAACTGACAACTTACGACCAAAACATTGTGATCCAGTATGTTCTTGCACCCTTACTTCAGTTAGCTTTCTTAGGGTTGAAGATGAAGATGGTGAATTTCTACTGATAGAAGCAGCCGACTTCCTACCGAAGTGGCTAACTCCCGAGAATTCGAGTAATCGGGTATGTTCTTTGTCATGATTCTCTAGCAGAATTTCCGTTGTTTTAGATTTGGATTTGGAATGGACAGGTCGGTTGGTTGGAACAGGAAAAACCCGGTTCTCTTTGTCAGACTGAGGCTTTGCGAATAATGCGAAACGAAAGCTTGGTTAATTCTATCTCGTTGAAGTTCTCTGAGATGGTTAACCGTGCCATTAGTAAGAAAATCAAGGGGTAGGTGTAGTACTTTCTTGTTTCTGTTTACTCCGTTTATCCCGTTCTTGTTCGGCTTGGGGCGAGATGGCCCAAGTGACTAGAGCGCGAATTTA